TCGCTTCGCCTCAGCGGGGCCCCGCGGGTCTGCTCAGGCGGCGGCAGAGGGTGCCTTGCAGGGGGGACGGTGACACCGGACACCAGTCACCGCGGACACCGCATCTCTCCAAGGCGTCCCTTTCCCTCCCCTATGTCCAACTTTAGCTGCCCTGGGAATTTATTTTTTTTTTAATTCCTCCCTTAATTCAGACTTCTGCTTTTGACCTCTTGACCTGAATCAGGACTTTGTTAAGGAGGCAGAGGAGCCTTCCCAAGGCTTAGCAAGGTAAAGCCAGGCCTAGGAAATTTCGGAGGGGGGAAGGGGTGGTGAGGAAGCACCAGAAGGATTAAATTCTTCCTGTTGGCTGATGACAAATCACTGTTTGTGCATTAGGGCAGGGCCAGCTTCATGGCTGATCCTTCTCTGGCCGGAGGCTGAAGGCAGAAGCGATGAAACACAGATGGGGAGAGCCGAGGGGATGGCAGGGGTGAGCTGCAGCAGAGCGGAGTGTCAGGGACATGAGTGTCCACAGAAACAACTTCCCTAAGCTGGCAGTCCTCCCCCCTCTTCAAACGTGTCTCACAGAAGTCAAATGACATGGTAGAGGTGAAGTGTTTTGTTTTTGCTGACGGGATGCCAGGGCCTATAAAATGTTTGGTGGTTTCCTGCCTAGCAAAAAATATGGAGAGGTTTAAACAACAAAACTGATGGAGCACAAAGGCAGAAACATGTAGTACCTTGGGATATTGCGTAAGGGAAATTGCAACCATGTAGCCGAAACTGGAGCCGAATGGAAAGGTCAGTGCTAGCATCAGTAAGTTCAAGCCACACGCATACAATTCAATGGATAAATAAGCAAATTGTGAGGAAAAACAAGACAGAATCTGCCACAATGAACCCATCCCTCAACTGCTGGCTGAGTAGACCTAGGGCCATACTGATTTCTCTAAAGGAATAGTTGTTTTGGCTCCAGGTGCTCTTATATAATTTGGAAAAAACAAGTAATGCTAAATATTTGTAGCAGTGATAACTTACCATTTTAAATAAAAGGATCCTGAACACAATCAAACTTCTCTGTTCACTAGCAGATTTAAGAGCATTATGCCAAGAGTTTAATAAATGGATTGCAGGTGGCCCCTTTCCATGTTTACCTTATGGTGTTTGAACTTTAATAATGCTTCAGTGCTAGTAAACTGACTCCACAGATAAAGAAATGTCACAATAATATTTATTGCTGAACATAATGAAGTGTTATGATCTTCAGTTAGTGGAATATATTATATGCACAAATGCCTTTTATATGTAATATGGTATGTATCATCTGGAATGGAATTTATATTAAAAATTGCTCAGTGTTTTCAATCCTTACTTATCAAAGTCAATGGATATTTTGGTATTGGTTGACTTTGGGTGAAATTGTCTCATTTTTTACTTTTTTAGTGCAACAAACATTCAGGGACTTTTACAGTAGGAGGAACTGCAAATTTATATTTTTCTATGACTGAGAAACACTGCAGTGTTTTACAAATCTGAAGTTTATCCTTTATTTTGATATCTATTGAAATTGAGGTTTTTTCAGGATACGGACTGACTTTATTTGTTAAACACTGAACGTGATATGGCCTGCATCCTTGTTTAGGACTTGAAGGCAGTTTTGGAGTATTATCAAAGAAAGTTGATAGTTCTGATACTTCTGGCAAACTAAAATGCTGCTTTAATCATTTGATACCCTAACTCATGTGGCCTATCAGTGGCTGTCATCCAGAGAAAGAAAAAAAAAAAACACCCAACAAAAAAAACCCAACAACTTTCAAGTTTCAGGATTTTGTTGTGCCGATTCTTGAGTTGCTGTTGCTCTTCAGAATTTATCTTGAAGACAGCATTCCTG